TGTCCACTGTACCTTTAAATTTCATTGTTTGATACTGGATTATTTGGAATTATTGTATCTTCTTGATTCAGCTTTAGTATTTCATATATACCGTATATAGGAATCTGTCAATTTGTTCTGAATTTTTTATCTTATTAGAGTACAGATTCTCAAAGTAGATATTGTTGATCTTCTGAATTGCTTCAGGATACCTTGTGATTTCACCCTTTTCCTTTGTAATTGCATGTATTTGAATCTTGTCTTTCCTTTCATTTTTAATAAGGTTGACTAAGGATTTGACTATTTTATTTAACAATGTTCATACTCATGAAAAAATGAAAAGAAAAAAGCAAAGAGAAAAAAATGTAATTTTAAGACTGGTTGTGTTCTGAGTTCTACAATTTTGTGTTAATGTCCAATCCAAAGCATGTCTCCACTGTCACTGGTTGAGAAAGGAGGCAGACAGACCCCTGATCTGTGCTGGATGACCCCAGCAAGCCTGCAGTAGGATTAGGGCTGGGTGCTGGATAATTCCAACAAGCCTGATATAGGAATAGGGCAGGGTGCTGACTTTGTTGCCTTCAACTCCACAAAAGTTGAGCTTGATTCTGGCCTATGGTTGTGGAGGTGGGACCTGAGTTTTTCAGCCTGCAGCACTCTGGGCATTTCTTGTTGGCCTGACCTCAGCTTCCTGACCCTGGTGTCTTCTGAGATTGTGTCTCACCCATTCACTGGGAGCCCTGAGAGGAAGCCAATCTATGGCTGCTCTGAAACCTGGGTTCAGTCCGCCTGTCTGTAAAAATGGTATTTGGCAAAGTATCTCTCCAGGGGATATGACAGACACTTGCACTGAAGTCATTCACCAGCTTTTGTAGTTCACAGCATCCACTGCTTCCTTCTACTGGTGCATTTCTCTGTGGAGTCCTCTCGATTCACCCACCTTCACTGTCTCAGTAGATCCAAATCCTCTCTCCACAATCTAGGAGTCAGGCAGAAAGTACAGTTTGCCACCACCTTTTTCTGTGTTGAGGTCTGTTTCTTCACTTTCTCTGTGGGCTCCAATTTTCCCTTTATATCCTTCTTGGGACCCAGGGATCCTCCTCCCTCCTCTTTTTCTTTCCCAAGTTATAATCCATTGTCTGGATTCCAAATCTTTAGATTGTGTGTAAGTCTTCTGCCTGTTTGGTTAAATTTATTCCTATCCTTTTAAAAATTATTTTGATGCTATTTAAATGGAATTGTTTCAGATTTTATTTTAAGATTTATTGCAAGTAAATAGAGACAGATGGTTTTTGTGAGATTTTATGTCTCACAATTTCAATGACTTCATTATTAACTAATATTTTTGTGGATTCTTTAGCTCATAATCTTTGAACAGAAATAATTCCACATTCTCTTTCTAATTCAGATGCCTTTTACTTCTTTTTATTGGCTAATTTTTCTGGATAGAACTTCCAATTCTGTGTTTATTGTAAGTGGCAAAAGTAGGCATCATTATCTTGATCTTAAGGGAAAAACTTTTCAATGTTTTTTTTCTTTTTCTTTTTAGGGCTGGTGATTGAACCTTACTCAGACCTTTCCACTGAGCTGCATTCTCAGTCCTTTTTATTTTTTGTTCTGAGATAGAGTCCCCCTAAGTTGCTAAGATGGCCAAGCTGGGCTTGAACTTGTAATCTTCTTTCTCAGCCTCCTATAATGTTAGGATTACAGGCATTTTGTCCCTACACCTTAAAGCTTCTAATTTCACATTGAGTATAATGTTGGCTTTAGGTTTTTTTATATACAGCCTGTATTATGTTGAAGTAGTTTTTTTTTTTCTGCTTAGTCTGTTGAGTGTTTTTATTATTATAGTGTTGAATTTTGTCAAATTCTTTCTCTGTATCAGCTGAGATAGTCAAGAGTTTATTAATGGGTTTTAACTGGTTTTTGCATATTTAACTGTCTTTGTATTGTGGGAATATACATATATCTTTTCACATGTGTGTTTCCAAACCACATACATATAATCAAGAAAATCAAGAAAGTCTTAATAAGAAGGCAACTGTTTTCTTTCTGCCAAGGAAGTCATTTGTATAGACAGAAGAAGATATCTTCAAGCTATGTGGAATAGAACTTTCTATGACCTCTTTGGCTTTGTGCCCTATGGAGAGATCATTGGCTTTGTGTTGTTCCTGTCTTTTTCCCTCTCTGAGTCAGAGGGATTGGATTGTGGGTAGAGCCAGTTGTAATAACTCTTGGATGTGTTTGTCAGTACTAAATGGGGTAGAGTGCAGAATTTCCACCATTGGTGACAGTGTTCTCTGTGCACTGCTAAAGCAGAACTGATGCTATTTGCTGCCTTCCTTGATACCTGTTCTCAAGGTGAGGAAATGCTGTGGAGCTATAACCAATAGTGATGAAGTTGGGGTGGGGAGTGGAACTTGTGTATACTCTACCCCGTGGCTCTTTTGTCCTGAATCTTAGCTCCCACAGGAAATCACGTGCAATTGTTGGCTTTACCTAGAGTTTCCACAGTGGGCTTCCCAAGTTGACAGTGCCAAATGAAAGTGATCTTCTTTCTCTACATATCACCAACAAGGTACTGACCACATAGACCTCTCAGGGGTATTTTTTTAAGAAATTTTTCTCCATAGCCAAAGTAACTCTCAAAATCATTACCTGTTGGATCGGTAGAATGTCTTTCACTACTGTTTCTCAGAAGTTCATTGCTGTTTCTCAGAAGAAAACATGGGTTTTCTTTATTTCTTGATTTGATTCCTAAAGTAGTATATTTATAGAAGAACTTTGCAAGATATTCCTTGTTGCTACACTATGATTGTATCTTGGACAATAGAGGAATTACCCTAGTGCCAAAATGCTATGTAGATTCTAGCTGCATTGTTTAGACTTCAGTTATGCATGGTGTTAAAAGCTATACTAATTAGTTTTAACTACTTCTAATCTGTCATCTTGGAACTATTTAGTTGTTTATTGTAATGTAATTGTCTAATTTGGTATGAGAATAAGGCTAATAAAATCAGATTTCAAGTGTTCCTTTGGTTTTCTGGGATCATTTGTATTGACTTGGTATTATTTCTTTCTTAAATATCTGGTAGATTGGTTGATTTTCTTCCTCGGCATGTCTGGTATTCTCCTTACTCTGCATGTGTGATTATCTTTTCGTTTGATGCTAGGCATTGTGATTTTACTTGGTTATGTGCCAAGTATTTTTGTGGTCCTAATCTTCCTGTTACGCAATTAAGCTACTTGAAAATAATTTGATCTGTTCGTGTTGTATTTAATACTTTGTTTTGTGGATTCACAGTAGTGCTTAATCTTGAGCTCATCCTCACTTCTAAGGCAGTGCCTTTCTAGAATTATTGTAGCAATGTGTGGTGACTAACTTTCTAAGTATTCTACCCAGCACTCTCTGAATTACGATTTTCTTTACTTTTGCTTGTAGAACAGATAGTATTCCCATGTTTAGTGTGAGCACCATGTACTGTTCTCTTTACCAGTCTTTTGGGTTTGTCCTTTCTCTTATTTTCAGTAGTTTCCTCATGTGCATATCCTTATTTGTGCCCAATCATTTCTGTGTCTGTATTTTTCCCCCCTCTGGTACTTTTGTTACATGATTTCTTACTATCTTTTTATTCCAGGATTCCCAGCTTTATTTCTTCAATTCTGGGAGTCTACTAAGCTCTGCCTTAGTAACCTTTCTCACTGTTGTGCTGCAAATCTCAAAAGTCAGCTGACTAAGAAGAGTAGAGCTAACCTTTGTTTCCCATCTCTGAAGAATAACCAGCCTTCATTGCTTAATGTATATGTTGAAAATCATTTCATATATTTTAGGTTTTTTGTTTTGCTGTTGTTTTTGGTCTTCTTTAAGATAGGAACATTGATCAACTTTTGTTTCATAAATTTTGATTAGAAACAGAAATCTGGCTTTTTTTCTGAACATTTTTACTAGTATAAAACAATGTGAAGAGTATTTGAAAAATTATCATCTGTGTTTGAGAGTGCTTTTGATTTATAACTTTATTGTTTCCCATTGAAGTATATTCATATATATGTATGTACAAAATCTGATTTATAGCTTTGTTTCCCATTGAAATTGTGTCTGTGTGTGTGTGTATATGTACAAAGTATGACAGTTTATACAAAATGTTAAATTATTGTCTTTGAAAAGTGATATTTTGGGGGGTAATTAATACTATGTATTTTCATATTTCAAATGTATAAAACTGTCATTTACACAGTAATATGAAGAATTTAAAAGTGCTGGTTTCTTGCTTCTTTATTTGAAGCCTGATATGAGAATAGAAGATACATATCTTAATCATCAAACCTTTATATCTTAAATTAATGAGACAATCTTTGCAATACATTGTTCATGTCATTAGAGTCAGATATACGATATTGTCCTACAGAAAAGTAAAAAAAATAAACCACATTTCAAATAGGTGATGACAATAGGAAGAATTCTAGGGTTCTTTTTTTTAGTTTACTTAGAAAAATTAGTTTTGTTTTTGGATGTATATTTGGTGTGATAAAAAATGACTGTTTACATATAAAAATTATTACAGTACTGTAAAGGATATATTGCCATTAATCCCTGCCAGAATACTCAAAATAGTCACCCTCACTTTGATTACACTTACCCCTTATTCTTGGCAATCTGTTGTTTACTGTAGTAAATTTTTTAAAAATTGGAACATTTACTACATCTCTGGATCACCCCTTGTATTCATGTTAGAAAAAGGTTTTCGGATTGTTGCATACAGATTAAACAATAGTTACATGCTTGCTTTGCAATACTTGGGGAGCGTGAAGCAAAAGCATTCTTATAATGCTGCCTAGTAACAGATTTAGTGTATACATTAAGAAGCTACTTTTTAAGAATAATAATTTAGTACTACTATTTTTTAATTTGTATGAAGGAAGGACTATTTATGAAATATCAATGATAATGAAATCTGGGAAGTGTGTAACATTTGGTATATATACAAATTAATTCATGATAGATAAAATTTCTCTTTCAGACTGCAAATGGCTACATCTTATTTTTTCATATTACATCTTCAAGAGGGGACAAGTACCTTTATGAACCAGTAAATCCCAAGTAAGTTATGACCTTTATTTTTGTAATATTTGATTTGTATCTGTTACTGAGAAAACATTGCCATTTTGAGTTGTCTGAAGTTACTAAAATGAGCTTGCATTTTAAAAATAGGTCATTTCTTGAATAAAGACTTCTGTAATTAAATAAGCCTTAGAATCTTGAGGAATGCGTTATCTTCTTTCTTAGACATTTCTAATTACTATTTGAATATATATTCCATCCTTACCATTCTCTAGTCTTAATTAGGGAGGAACTAAGAGATCATGAAGGGAAGAGGTAAACTGTAAGTTTTGTCTGTGTTTTTGTGCATGCATAGGAAACAATACCTGAGACAGTTATTATCTCTTGACTAAAATTTGGAGGAACATTTGCTCTTCAAACTATGTAACTGTATATGTATATATGTGTGTATATATATATTTTATTTTCATTTTAAGTCTGTCATGAAAGTTAAAACATACAAACCATAGCTATAGAAATAGTACTGACGAATTTTAAAAACACTGAAATGATCATTTGTGCACATTCCTCATTTTTAATTTTACATCTTTTTATACAAAGGTACTGTTAGCACACAGTTCTAATTCTTACAAACCTAATTGTTAAGCAGCGAGAGATGACACTGTATCATAGCACAGCCCAGAATGTTTCCTTGAGGAAACCTCATCAGCAGTATTTGGTAAATTGTTATGCACAGAACTGACTTGGAGGGTAATGTTAAATATTCCTCATAAACCATGTACACAACAAATGGGAAATGTAACTTTAATATAAGATAAAATGTTACTCTTTTTTGCTGTTAAATTCTGGGACACTTAAAACCAGACAATTCAAGGTGCTTTAATTCTAGATTCCATAATGGAACATGATTAGGCACCTGAGAGTCTATACACTTTGAGGACTGCTCATGGCTTTTTAAAGTTAATTTGAAATATAAAAGCACTTAGTTTACCAGGCAAAATCTAGTTAACTGATTACATGTTACATAAAGTACACCTTTTAAGAAAAACTGACTTTAAAAAAGATTGCATCGTTGATGTATAATAACTTCAAAAATGATACTCTTAAAAATGCACTACTTTAACATCTTTCAACATGGGTTGGGGGCGGGGATTTAGCTCAGCAGTTCGGTGGCCTGCCTTGCAAGCTCAAGGACCCGAGTTCAGTCCCCAGTACCAAGAAAAACCAAAACATGTCTTAAGTTGCCATATTTTGTGAATTCATTACTTTATATATTCTAAACTTTCAGCAAAATGATTTTAAAATCATTCTTAAACTTAATTACATCTAAAGAAATGGGTTAATATGTCTGAAATGGCTGTCAACCACACATTTATTTCTACTATAAATATCCATTAAGAGAGTTCTATATTTTGATGTAAATACTCAAAACCTCATGTAAATGTTCCAAATAAATATTTATAACGTGTTTTTGGCATTAAAATCTGAATAATGCTACCATGCAGGCAATTTTTCACAAAAATTTTCAGAGGTGGTATGGCTCATTAGTAGCAGTGCTTGTCTAGCATGTAGAAGCTCTGAGTTTGATATCCAGCACCACCAAAAAATGTTATGGCACCAAAATTTAGTGCTTTTATTAAATATTAAATATATATTATCTTTACTAAAAAAAATCACTCCAAGCTAGGAATGATAGCACAGGCCTATAATCCCAGCACTCAGGAAGTTGAGGCAGGAGGATCACTGTGAGTTTGAGGCCATCATAGGCTACATTGTAAGTTCAATATCAGCCTGAACTACATAGTGAGGCCCTATGTTTAAAAAAAAAACAATACTCCAGCCAGGTGTGGTGGCTCATGCCTGTAATCCCAGCACTCGGGAGGCTGAGGCAGGAGGATCTTTGGAGACCAGCCTGGGTTACATAGTGAAACCCTGTCTCAAAAAAACAAAACAAAAAACCTCCAATCGGTGTCAAAGCTCAAATCTCCTTCTCCTTTACCTCTTTCTTCCTCAGCATGTTTTTTTTTTTTTTTTCACTATTAATGAGTTAGTGTTGTCTAGAAAAGAAGAGACTAACAGAGGTTAACAATTTCTAATTTTAACACAGTTTATTTCCAAAAATCCAACTTCCTTGTAGGAGAATTTTACATTATTAGGAAAAGTATTATCTGTATTGGCCTGGTGTGGTGGTGCATGCCTGTAATCCCAGAGATTGAGGCGGGAGGATTGCTGCAAGGTCAAGACCAGTCTGGGCTACATAGTGAGACCCTGTTTTAAAAACAAGAAAAAGAAAAAAAGCATTCACTAAATCACAACAGATTTAGAGGAAATAAAGGTCTGAATTAGTTACAGAAATGAAAGTTTTCTTCAACATATGTTATAGTGTACTTACACAGACTTAGATGTTATATAGGCTACAAATCTATATAGCATATTACTGTACAGAATACTATAGGCAGCTATATCATGATAAGTACAGACATTTTTGCTTTTATATTACACAAGTTCAGTGTTGACATCTTCAGGTAATAAAAACTATAAATGCACTTTTATGTAATTGACAGTTCAGTAGATTTGTTTATTTTAGCATCACCAGAATATCTGAATAATGTGCTGTGATCATGTGAAGGCTACAGCATTAGTCAGCAATAGTAGTTTTTCATCTGCATTATAATTTTACAGGACCACCATTATGTATAGAGTTCACCTTTCAACAAAATTATGTGATATGTGGCTATGTTTTTGCTAATAAGTTCCAAGTCTTGGTTTTCTAGAGTACATTTTCACTGCTTTTCCCCTTATCTCTAATACATACCTTGTTTTGTGTTCCGTTCATAAACTTAGTAATAAGTCTTAGTGATCCTCTTTTTTGTTTTGTTTTTTACTGGGAATTGAACTGAGAGCCTTGGGCTTGCGAGGCAGGCATGGCACCACTGAGCTAAATCCAGAGCTGATCTTAACAGTTTTTATTTGCTATGACCCTCTCAAAACACCACGTCTGGTTTGATTTCACTGGGTATATATTTTGTAGAAGTATAGTTGTTAAATTTTGCATATTGTGTGCATCCATTAGTTTCATCATAATTGCATGAGCATCTACTAATTAGATTGGTAAGAATATTCTTGTATAAGCTCTGGTGGTAAAAGACCTTTATTAGCCAGTTTCAAAGAAGGTATATCAATCCAAAAAAATGAGGAATTGTTAAAAGATCTGCCAATTCAGAGAGCCCTGCACATTGGTATTAATAGACCTAAGGCCATGTGAATGTATTATCATTTGCAGCTTTTTGGGTTTTTGTTGTTGTTGTTGTTGGTGGTGTGTGTGTGTGTCCCTCCAAATCCCTTGCCCATTTTGTTGTTTTATAAAACACCTGACAATACAGAGAATAGCTCTTTTAGAAAATTACTTTGAGCATTAATCTATCATCTGCCCATTTAAGACATACTGAGGTTTGACAGTCCCTAAGAACTGTTGTAGATGCTACAGATCCAGTAGTAAAAAGGACCAAAAACTTTTTAAACCCTTATTTATAGAAGCTTATATTCTCTTAGAAGAGAATGACAAATACATTCAAGTTGGATGATACATTTCATGCAGAAAAACTAAGCATAGTAAAGGAATAAGAAGTAAGACCATAACTTGAAAGTCTCCAGGGTCTTCACTGAGAAAATGGAAAATATAAATGGATCTCAACAAGACTGAGATTAAAACAAAGACCCAGGGGATAAGAGCAGGTTAATGAGATTTAGCAGGTAAGAAAGTTGACAAGAAAATAATAGGAATAAATTTTAGGTGCTAGCAAAGAATTTACAGCTTGTATTTTTTATCAAATGTAAAAATGAAACATTACATTCTGATTTTTAAGTAATCTAATCCTGGAAAAATATAGAGCCAACCCCCTTCTTTCCTAAATAGCACAACACCACCATGTACTTGAGAGTTTATTCATTCTTTCTGCTCATTCACAGCAAGTCTATACCAGTTCTACTTCATTCTGCCTTGTCTCTCATGTCTCTTATCTCTTTTTAAACCCTAACTATGCTACTATAGTTTGGGTTTTGCCATTTTTCTCCTGGAGTATTGTATCTTCATAATCTATTTTTTATACTTTACCCCTGATGTTTTAGTTTGCTATTTCCCTGCATAAAATTTCTGTCTTTGCTTAGCTTTCAGGATTAGTCATGTTGCTTTGTTTTTTTGAACTTCGTTTACTCATCTGATATGTGAAGCTAATGTCAATCTCCATGAAGTTGTCAGCAGTTTTAAATAAGCACCCTAAATTACTAAATAATAGTAACCTATGTAATGCTTTAGTATACCCAAGGATTTGTTCTGAGTTCTGTTGCACATGTTCTCCTTGGTTTAAGCTCTTTAGTATATGTAGATGAGGTCTAGATCTAATTCTTGAGCATCAGGTTCATTTTATACGTCATAGTAGGCAGCCTCAAATTCATCATGTTTAAACCTCACTCACTGCCCCTACCAAGCTTAACATACTTTTGCTGTACTGAACTTGATTGCAGTTGCCATTATCTTTTAAACAGTTACATGAAACAAAAAACCTTGGATTCTTTTTGTCTCTTCACTTCCCATGTTTTATTGATTGATTATACTTCTCCAATGTTTCTAGAATTTGTTTTATTCTTTCTGGTCTTATTAGGGACTTTCAAGGCCTTATCGTTGCCTATTGAAAAAGCTTATTTGCTAGTTAATTTATTTTTCTCTGGCATCTTTATATTGTGTACTAAAATCTATCCTTTACCTTAATACCAGAGTATTTTTGAAACAGACCTAAAGATGCAATTATCTTAAGAATTTTTATTGCTGTCCATGAAAGTCCAAACTCTCTGGGTACCCACCCCCACATCTAAAATGCATTGTATCCACAATTTCTATGTAATATAATGCTCGTGTTTCCCATTACCTTTTTAAAAAATAATGTAAGTAAGCTATCTGGCTTAGATTGCAAGCTCAGATCAACCATCTGTTCTACTCTAAAGCTGCTTCCCTCAACTTTCCTGTCCTCCCATTTGTATAC